AGCGTTTCGTGCAAACCGTGTAGCGAGCGTGTACCGTTCGTGCAGCGTGCGTGTGGGGTAGTAGCACGTTTCAGGGTCTGTACATGTAGCGTGTGCAATTTATTTGGCTAGGGGCATGTACACACGTGGTTCGAAACTGTAGGGGGCTACAAATGCGGCCATAACTAGTATATTTTTGAGGTGTTATAAAAAACAAATAATACTCACAAAAGCTTATAAAATTGCCGTTCTATCGATACCTTATATGCCATGTTTCATCCACCAAGAACACCACGACATCGATGAGAAATACATTTCTACACGGGCATTTTCATCCAAAAGGATAGGAAGTTAATGAATTAAAATAATTAATTCATTTAGTTAACGTATTATGTTTACCTCTTTATTTGTTGTATGCAATAAGTATAGACCTTACTAATAATGACTGTTTGGTTGTCACACCTGTGCATGTGTTGTGCGAGGTACAGCGGTAAGGTAAATTACCGAGAGTCGCGATGTGCGGGGTGATTCGGAATTCCCTAAATGACTGTGGTCCATTGAATTTCTACTAGTAAATCAACCTCTCAAATCTAACATGGGCCCACATAATACGACTAAATTCGTTTCATGAATGAACTGGTTCTTAACAAATATATGTACAGTATACAATATCTTTTCTTTAGATCTGTTTATTTATTATTTTCAACCACAATCTGCAGTACATGTATAGTTACACGAAATCCATGCACAATGGCGCTACACCTGTCAATCAAAATCACTCGATATTGTGAACTCAGTCTGGTGTTACGGCAGCATTTCCGAAGTGATTCAAAATATTCTATCGGCTAATTCTAATTTTTCGCGTTGAATAATAATATTTTGGAACAAAGTTGGAATTAAGGCTGGAGCTGCATGCTGTGAATTTATCACACCTGCAGTCTGCAGTCTTCCCTTCTTACATGTATATGAAGCATCTGTTGAGTAATGAATCAGAGAGCATAATATGCGGCACAAGTTTGATTGAGATTTTTACTTTTCCTTTAAGATAAAATGATTAATAACATAATTTATGCATCTAATAGATACATATAAATGTACATGTATAGCTTTTTAAAAACAAGAATCTGTAATTGAAAATGTGAAAGTGAAGAGTTTAGGTAATAGTTCTTAACCAAAATTTAATGACAGTTCATTCCTTCCTAGTCTCTATATAACTTTTAATTACGGCCGTGCCCTCTCCCCTTCAAAAGATGTCTAATACATGCTTTTAAATTCTGTTTATGTATCAAGAAATTTCCACAGGTACTTGTGGACAGGATCCCCCCCCCCCCAAATTCAACCCCAATGTTTGTCGGACATTTTTTTTCCACAAATTGTATTTATTACACTTATTCATCATGTGTACCATAGGAAAAAATCGAGTACAAGTACCTGTGGAAATTTCTATTTGCCCCCCCCCCCAAAAAAATAATCGTTCCACACAAAAAATGCCTCACTATGTATAGTTAAAACATTAATTTTTCATATTTCTTGATGAAATTAACATTAATAAAATCAACACAAAATTAATACCGTATTACATATCACTTGAATTTATCATAAAGCAGAAAATCTGTTCTGCGGGCTTCAAGGCCAGCTCAGGAACCTAAAGATGTCCTCATTTTCCAAGTCCAGTACAGAACGTAAATTAAATGAAATAAATCACACGATCACTGGGAAGAACTCAAAGAAAGAAGACTCTTGAGGAAAAGATATTTTGATTCGACTTATAGACTGAAATAAACTGATATTCTCTTTTTGCCACTCTTTCCTGGTGCCCTGGGACTCTGAATGTAGGATCAGTATTTTTCTCACAGGTCCGTTGTACGGATTGTACGGGGGGTGGGGGGGGGGGGCAGACCTTCTGAAAATAGTCTTTTGTTGTAGTTTTAATATGTAAATTTTGATTTAGTTGCTGCTTGCACCCTCCCCACTCTTTGTTTCTCTACGGTCATACATGGGCGATCCCAGCAAAAATGTAATGACCCCCGCTCCAACACACACTTTTTTTTTAAATGTGTATTGCGATAGGACTTAAAATTGGAAAACATTTTCTGTATATCTCTACATCGAAAAATATAAAACAAATATTTTTTTTTATATTTCCTTTTTAAAACAACATAGATAATTATGCATAGCTAATTAAATACTGAATTAAATATTTATCTTTTCAGACAATATGTTCTGGGTTATAGAACATGATGTGAAAACGTATCGTAATGCATCTTGTAATACTTTGGATTATCAGATTTAAGGCCAATGCGAAAACCCAAAGACGCCGACATTTTATTATGCTACTGTAATCGAAGATCCGGGGGGCATACAGTTTTTGTCCTGTCCACCTGTCTATTTGTCTGTTAGACTGTGTTAGCCTCTTTGTCTGCAAAAACTTTAACTACGCCCATAAAATTTGATTGGTTGGAACTACTGCTTTCATATTTCTTATGTGTATTCCTAGTAACAAGGACTTCCTTCAGGTACCAACATATTTGACCTCTTGACCTTGAACTTGGAGTTTGATCCTCTTTCGCAAAATTTTACCAAACTATAACCTTGGCCAAAACTTTTGAACAGTTGGTGCTATGGCTTTTATACTTCACATCTGTATCCCTTGTGATAAGTCTCTTCCTTGGGTATAAATATGTTTGACCATTTGACCTTGACCTTGGAGTTTGACCAACTTTTAAACAACTTTAGCCTTGACAATAACTTTTGAATGACTAGTACTAGGGCTTTTATATTACATAGGTAATTTTCTTGTGACAAGGCCTGTCATTGTATACCTTTAATTTTGACCATTTTACCTTGACCTTTGAGTATGTCCTACTGTTGAAAAACTTTAACCTTGGTTTTAACTTTTGAACAGTTGGTGCTAAGGCTTTTTTAATACCACATGTGTATTCCTTGTAACAATTAAGACCTTCCCTCAAGTACAAACAATTATGATCCCTTGACCTTGGAGTTTGACCTTTTAAAGAAATTAACCTTGGCCATAACTTTTAAACTGTTGCTGCTGTGGCTTTCATACTAGTATATATTTCACAGTATATTCTTTGTTCAAGACCTTTATTTGGGTAATAACATTTTTTTTTATCTTTTGATCTTGACCATGGAGTTTGACTTGCATTTGAGAAACTTTTAACTTTTGCCATAAGATGCCATATGGGGGCATCAGTGTTTCAAAAATCACACGTTGTTCAGTATCCAAATCGGGCATAAAACATTTACAATGATCCTTTAAAGCAGTGAGTTGAACCTAATAAATTACGACTATAGAAATTATGATAATTTATTTCGATGTATGGTCTAAAAAAACGTTTATTATACCTCTGTGAAAACTAGCTTACAAGTGAAAAATCACTAGTAAAATAGAATTTGATTGGCCGAGAAAGTCATGTGTCCATCATGTTTGCCCTGCAACAAAACGTCGAGTTTCACGATTGCGACGTCACAATTAAACGAGTGAGGAGTTAGATTGTTTATAGCGACGCTGCTAACTTCGTTCGCGCGGTAACAACAACTAAAAATTCACCCAAAAAAATCACCTTAATTAATGGAATTGCATACAGATAGTAGATTAAACGTTCTTTGTTAAAATGTTTGCACTTTTCAAAATTCGTTTATGGAAATACAGCTAACATACGTCATGAGACGTCACAGTCTAGACATTCCAAATGTCTCGTGCTGTTTGAAGAGGCGGATCTTAAAATTAAGTGAACAATGCACTCGCCCAACGGTCGCACCGTCAACATATTATCGTTGATTGATTGTGTCGATTTAAATGTGTAAAAATGTAATGGTGTTTGAATGTTACTGGTGTGATCACACAAACTTATCACGTAGGAATTTTTTTTAATGAAACGAGGCTATTGGTGTACCTGTAACTTACATCTCTTTCATATCGTTCTCATCAAATGCATGTTTGCTTTATTCATTGGATCTCCTTTGTAATTCCTGCATTTTGGTTAATTCGGTATTATAAACAATTTATTGCATAATAGTGAGGGAGACATAAAGATTTCTTCGCAAATGAAAAATCATATTTCTCTCGGGCGTTGCCTTCGGGGAATATGATTTTTCATGGGCGAAGAAATTTTCATGTTGCCCTCGGGGAATATGATTTTTTATGGGCGAAGAAATCTTCATGTCTCCCTCACTTTCATGCAATAAATGCAAACTGTGAACTTGTCAATTCCGAAACACACAAAAGGGTATCGCTGATATCATACAGAGTGTATCATTGCCTTGATCAGGCCCATAGGAAGCAAATTCAGGGTTTTTTTTTGGGGGGGGGGGGGGGCACAGCCATACATTTTCAGTTGACAGTTGAGGGGGCACTACTACCATAAATTTCCTGACAAGCAAAAAAAAAGGTCACCAACTACCAAAAATTCCTTGACAAGCAAAAAAAGAAAAAAAAAAGGTTATCAGACGTTTTTATTGAGGTGGCACAAGCTATAGTATCTATGTCTACTATTGTAATCTATATATCGGCAAAATTATTGGGGGGCACGCCCCCCTCCCTCGGTTCCTACAGCCATGTTGATTAAATTTAGGGTCACTAAGGAAAGAATGTTTTGACTGGATGAATGGTCTGAAAGAACATGTGTTAACTTGTCGAGTCGGTAACACATAGATGAGGTTTGCTTATAACCAGAGTGTGTCATGGTTTGATGCAAGGTCATTTGAACGAGTTCAAGGTTATCAACGGAGAAACAACATTCCTTAACTGTCTTTCTACTGGTGAGACATTGCAAGTTGATACCCCTTACAAGATTGCTTATAACCTTAGAATGTGGCATGACCTTGACTCAAGGTCACTTCTTCCTGTTCGCAGCTCCAACGGAAGACCTACTCGTTGCTTTGCAACGAGCTCTGCTCTAGTTTTCAATGTGATTCATGCACTGAAATTGCCCCACTTCAATATTGTGATATTCTTGAATTTTATGACATCATGGTTGTGATTTTGGATGTACTTGCAGGCTTTAGAAGAGGCCAACAGAGACAACAAACTCCATCATTACGCCTGTAACTTGGTGAAGAAACCAGGCACCACATACTATCTGTATGAAAGAGAATCTGGACAGAAGTATATGTCAATTCTATCTCCTGAAGTGAGTCATTAAGTAAATAAAACAAAATAATACAAATGATAACACAACTTACACACCTTAGAAGGTTTAATGCTGCATGAACTAAATGGTTTGGACTGCCAAAGGTTCTTTATGTGTAAATGATAAGCTACCTTTGTTAAAGCTTAAAAGAAAATACGTAAGTAGCTTTCCAACACAAATAGCATGTATGGTAGCAAATATTGCTTGAAAGATTTGAGAGTACTGAATAGCGCATCACAAATGTAGTAAATAAATGCATATTGTAAAATGTGCATAAATGTTGACAAACTTAAAAAAATAAATAGCAAGAAACCAAGATAATACTGTAACTGGAACTTAAAAGAGTTATCTCCATCAATAATAATCCGTATTTCACTAGATATTCTTCATTTGCCTTTGCACTCTATAATTCATATTTCAGGAATGGGGTGCATCTTGTCCACATGTATTCTGTGGAGCCTACAAATTAGAACATGATATGTCATGGACTCCTTTAGAAGAGGTGGAGGAACGTAGTCAACAATTCGCTCTCATTGATAAAATCTTAGACACTCAGAAAGCATTGCCTGAAACATCATCCATCACCGGTATATTTGGAGACAAATCATAGAGTGAACGGTCGTGGAGTCAACAACTAATGTGTGATTAGAATGGACTCATGTGTAATGTTGTGTATACAAGTTTGATATGCATGTGTGAAAGGATTTGTGAAGACATGTGTCACAGATGAAAAATGTGATGAAAATTTTGCAATTCAGAATAACTGTGATGAAAAGTAGGGAAGTTTGAATTTGAAGGTGACTTTTACCAATCATGCTATTGAATTTTGTTTTAAAATGTAAGGATTACTTTTTAGATTAATATTTTAATCAGATGTTTGCAACCATCAGAAGAAGAGTTGATAAATTGAATGTTCAATAGATGTACCATTGTCAGTATTTTGTTTATTAATTATTACAATTTTATCCATTATGTACTTCATAATTATTAAACCATGCTTGAGGGCTATAGTACAAATTACCTGCGGTTATATTTATGTACATGCTTTTTCTTATGGTTTATTTTAAATTAAATATCCCTTTTATTGAATTTATTGTTAACATTATTTGTATTTATTGTTAACATTTTTGTATTTAAGGTAATTTGAAAAAATGAAAATAAATATTTCATATTGAAATAGTCATCAAATTTGTTTTTGAGGAATAGTGTATTTGTAACACAAGCACATATTTGTAGCCAAAAACTTACTGTAATGAGAGGGTTTGACACCAGTGGCCTGAGTCCACCAAAGTTTGGAATGTCCACCAAATGCTACACATGTAATAGTGATAATTTCCCTTCTCTGGAAACACCTGCATGTCAGGTTTATGTCTCACAGTTGATTAGATAGCAAGAGAATGTTCTTTCTGAGCATGAATATGTTTTAGATGAAGAATTTCAACATAAGAGGAATCTAGAAAACTTGAAATAGCTTTGTATCAATTTTTGTGACCTCTTACATAAACTAACTGTCCTACTGAATATTTTATATTGTTAAATATACATTTTTGGTTTCAAGTTGGCAACATACTTAAATCCACAGAGAGTAGCTAGAAAAATTATTTTTTTATATCTATTTGACCTTAACAAATTTATGTCAATATACACTCCATAACCCCAAAAAATTACATATTTTTCAGTATTTCATAAGTATGAAACATGAAATTTTGGATTGAATAAAAGATAATGAAAAACTATAGTTGATATTTTTCTTTCTTTAAGAAAGACAAATCATGAAGGTTTTCAATGTAACTATGATAGAGGGATATTAGCTATTGTCCATACCATTATTCAACTTAAATAATGCTTATAAAATGAAATTATCATTTTTGTTTATGATTTTCGAAAAATATGGGACACTAACAAAATTAATATATATACGATTTTCTATCTCTTATAAGTTGAAAGACAAAGACACATCATTTATATCCAAAAAGAACAGTGATCTATCTCGCAAGTCATATAGGCAATACAAATCATGAACAGGGAGACATTCAGAGCCCTGGAAACATCAGAAATAGGGATCAGGTGCCTTGGAGGAGTAAGTATTCCCTATCTACCTGTCACACTCTATGTAAGCGGTACAGGTAACCCATAATCAAAATTAGTATAAAGGTAAATGAATAGGTTGATAATAGTATCAAATATGCCAGCCAAATTACGCCTAAGGATATGTAATATAATTTACAAACGAGATCGTAATAACAACCATAGAATTAAACGAGAATGTTGAAAGACCTGTTATGGCATCCTATTTGTCAGTAGCCTGCATCGATTTAAAAATTGATCGTTTTCAGACATAACACCATATGTAGGTAATTGCGGGATATTACTACATAAAAAAGAGATGATGACGCGATAAAAAGCTTAATTTCATTCTCTGCAATCATATATTTTATCGGTAGCTTGCAGTTTACCTGCCTTTAACGTCTATATGGGATAAAGCAATCGATGTTAAAAAAAGATTTGATCGACTCTGTGCTTTATTTTTAGTTCATGGGGATATAACGTGGAGACATACGAACCAAAATTAATACTGAAAAAAAAAGAGATCAAGCTCCTCATTGACACTAATTTTTGCACTAATATGAAGTAGAATTTATTTAAAAAAAAAATCTACATGAAGGGGAGAAGTCTCATGCTGTGGCCATCAATTCACATTAAGACACATCGACGACGTTTTATCTATAATTATACCCCACGCAACAAGTTGAGGGGGGTATAATGTTTTTGACCCGTCCGTCAGTCAGTGTGTCAGTCAGTCAGTCAGTCCGTCAGTCCTGTTTTTTTGTCAGCGCAACTCCTCATAAACTGCTGCACAGAATTTCATCAAACTCTGCAGATATTTAGGACACAATGTGTAGATGAGCATATTACCAGGAAATTCCGATTCCTTTATTTTTTATGGGAATTTTGGCACTTTTCAACTTTTTTGGTCATATGTTGAATACAGAGATGAACAGTTTGTCAGCGCAACTCCTCATAAACCGCTGCACAGAATTTTGTCAAACTTTGCAGATATTTAGGACACAATGTGTAGAATTGCAAATTACCAGGAAATTCCGATTCCATCATTTTTCTGGGAATTTCTGCACTTTTCAACTTAGATTTTTGGCCATATCTTGAATATAGAGATGAACAGTTTGTCAGCGCAACTCCTCTTAAACCGCTGCACAGAATTTGGTCAAACTTTGCAGATATTTAGTACACAGTGTGTAGATGTGCATATTACCAGGAAATTCCGATTCCTTTATTTTTCTGGGGATTTCGGCACTTTTCAACTTAGATTTTTGGCCATATCTTGAATATAGATAAGAACAGTTTGTTAGTGCAACTCCTCTTAAACCGCTGCACAGAATTTGGTTAAACTTTGCAGATATGCATATTACAAGGAAATTCCTATTGCATTATTTTTGGCTTAAGAGTTCTGCCTATTATTGAAGAAACTTTCCAGTGAGGTAATAAGGAAATCCACTGGAATCAGCTTTTGTAATGAAATTTTATGTGAAATATTTTATGACCTTAAAAGACCCCTATTGGTTTTGATATCAAAATATTAATGATTTAACACACACACACACACCCTCACACACACACACACACACAATCTTGGATAGTTCTCACCCCCCACCCCACCCCTCACCCCCCTTCAAATTGGTGCTTTGCCTTAAATGATTTCATAAGTACAGTATATAAACAAATTCATATGACTACATCATAATTTTGTTTCCATCAATTATTTAAATGTGTAAATTGTCATGTGTTGGACATGGACTTACACTCATAACAAATCGAAATCACTGAGGAATTTAACTAACAGTTTGTCAGCATAACTCCTGCACTGAATTTCCTGAAACTTTGTAGGTATTTCAGACATAATTAATAGATTTGTATATTACCAAGAAATTTTGATTCCATTATTTATCTAGAAACTTCAGGCCAATTAAATTTGTAACATACAAAGATTTGAATGTCCTTATATGCAAGAAGTTTTGATGTGATGATTTTTTGCAAGTAATGCCCCTTTTTGAATTATTATACTGTGTATTTAAAACGTGTTGCATTGTTGAGTTTTGGGTGAGCGTGGGGTATGTGAGCTTGCTCACTTTTTCTTTCATTATTTTATTAACAATATTCATTTTCATTCAATACGTTGAATTAATACATCTTACTGATTACTGAGCTCGAAATAAAAGACAATACATATCTGATACATCCTTCTCAAATTGGTTATTTTACTAGAGAAATTAAGACAATGATTGCAAACTAACAGCTAGATAAACGCTGTGAATTCAATCTCTTTACAGTCAACTCTCATTTTATGTAGCAATATCGGTAAATTATTATTGTCTGCATATGGTGTTTATGTATTCCAGTAAGGTTAATAGACAAGAGCATGTTTTGTATAAGAACACTTTCTAAATGAAGACAGGCTGAAATAACAAATAAGTTGATGTTACAAAGGTAAAGACAATACTGTTTAAAGGCAACATTTCGCAACTTCTATGATGAATACAATGCCGTCAACCCTGTTAGCGGAAAAAAAAAAAAAACTGTCGTTACATCGAATGATGACTGGACATATTTCATACAAATGATTAGGCAATTGATTTCATGCTGCATTGTTCACGGAATTCTCCGTTTACCCGATCAATATAAAGGACTTATGGCAAGCTTAACCAGTCAAAATGGAATGCTTTCATGGCATTCGATCCCACCTCTGCTGTTTTTTTTATGAATGAAATTCTTCAAAATCACATTTCAGTCTTTAATACTTTTAACATTCCAGTCAACCAAGGTGAGTTCGAACTACCTTACGTATACTGGATTCCTAAATTTCATAAAAATCCTTAACAACAAAAATACATATGGCCGGTTCCAGCAAATGCTCTACAGCACCCCTCTCTTTACTCCTTACAAAAATATTACCTGCTGTTAAGGAGAAACTTCAGAAGTACTATTGTGGATTCTCAAAAACAACAAAGAACCTAGAAAATTCAAAATCACTTTCCTACAATTTATCCAACTATTCCTCACGATAAATTAAAACTTGGATTTTTGGTATCAAATACAACTGCTTTTTTAAAAAAAATAAATGAAAATGGAACTCGATCGGAAATTTTCGTATCTTGTGATTCTATTCATAGGTCGACTCGGAAAATTATAGTGAACTTGAAAAAGAGACACCACAGAGTCTGCCACATCTGTTTCAAATTAGGATGTTTCACAGAATATAGACAATAAGGGCCAGCTAACAGCTAAATTGTAGTTGACGACGAACTTTCCTTTTTATGTCGTAATATTCTTCTATCACCTGTATATGGTGTTTACATCTCCCAACTTACTCGATACTCAAAAGCATGCTACGAGAATGATCAATTTTTTAAAACGAGGCATGCTACTGACGTATAAGTTGATGATACAATGTTACATGAATTTAACCACCTAGTTTAAAGTCAGTTTTTCGTAAATTCTATGGTCGATATAAGGACCTTGTTACATGTAACAAATATAAGCTATCATTGGGTTGTATTTTGGCTGACGTGTTTTATACAAATTGTTAGGCCTTTGTTTCTATACTTTATTTGATTACGGAATGCTCCGTCTACCTGATCAAAATATAGGGCTCAAGATGGGGGGGGGGGGGCAGGTCAACAAGATATGCTTACTCCTCAAAGGCACCTAACCCACCTCTTGAATTTCTGGGGGTCCTTGTTTTGTGCCCTAGCTGTTCACAGATTTGTATTGTTTGTAGATATTTTTTTTTCATTCTCACCCTTTTCATTTCAGAAGTTCGTGTTTGCTCTACTCTCAATTTGTACCGTTCATTGTACTATTTAGCATGATAACTTATCGTTATCTTCAAATGCATGTGAATTGATGAAACATCGTTGATATAGCTGAATGTGAAATTGAAGGCAATTCAGCAAGAGCTTTTATGTTGAATTTTTTTGAATAAATATTCCTTCACATAAATTCCAAAAAGATATCAGCCAACTAAGGAGCAAGAACAATTTCTAAGACTAGGAGGGCTACTGCCGAACCAGTTGATG